GCTCTTCTGCATGTGGCTGTAGGGAAATTTGGCATAAGGACGCAATACGCCACCTAAACATATATTCGAATGTCTACCTACTATCGCACTCGCCTTTCCGCCGTTTAGCCCCACCGATAAATCCTGTATTACACAGCAACCTGGCCTTTGTTCCGTGCGTAGGGTCGCATACTGCGTGCTTGCCCGAAGGCCAATAAAAAATCCGTGCACTATTTAAGTCGTCATATTTTTGGCGGATGCTTTCCGCGAGTGACCGAAAGGTGCTACCTTAGAGGGAGCTTCCTGGAGTATACAAAATACTGTGAAATTAAGCTGTGTGGCAATCACAACTGCAGTCCCGTTTAAAAAATCCTATCTAACCGAATCCACATTTAATAGCTGCAGCAAATGTTCCGTGAGGCTCTTTGGAGTCATTGTTTGTTTTACTTTTATAGAAAACCGCGCTTAAGAATACGAATGGTAATAAACCCATGCTTACAATAAAAAACTCCTTATTTGCAGTCACTTCGGATTTTACTCACCCTCTTGGTTTTGCTAAACATTGTTAACGTTTGCGGTCCAGCTTTTCCTCGTTTGGAAATGACAGAAAATTCGGTTCACTGAGAACGTCAAGTCTCATGTGCTCCACGTCTGATATCTGTAGCGTATCATTTTATTATTTAATACTCGTCCTCTGGCTACTTGATTGGTTTTTCTTATCTAAGTATTGACACATTGATAGGTGATTCGATAACTTTACGCAGTCATCCACAACTAACTTTATTCGACTATCAAAACTCTACCTGACTTAAAAAGTGCTACAGCTTAAGTGGTTTTTTCAATTAAGATAATAAAACAGTAGAAATGCCTAAACGTTTTAAGCAATGGCAAACCAGAAGTAGTTTGACTTTAGACATAGATCTCGTTCAGTTTATTCTACTAAAACGAACTGGAATGTTTCTCATGAAAAACGTGGGATGATGGGAGTATTTGTGTGGTCAGAATTGTTGGCATTCAGCACCGAAATGGGTCATAGACTACATCCACAACACCGGGGATCATAGTGATTGCCAGCAATTTAATTCTGGTTGCCTACTTTCCGAGCGGTGGGAACGGCGTTTTTGTTGTGAATATACCCAAATTCGGAATGGGGAAATGTCTGGGAACATGCTTTCACCGCCTATCAGAATTCCTCAGGAGTATGAGGTGGACGCATGTCCTTGTTGTCTAGTGATGAAGTATGAATTGTTCGTAATCTTTGACACCAAGATCTTTCGACAAACTTCACATCTCAACAATTTGTCCTCGATCGTTTTAGCAAGGGGGAGTTTTCGTGGTTCATATTTACTGGCTAAAAATCCCACCAATATTTATAAAAAGACTTAAAAATAGTTACTGTTTGGGAATACCAGGTGTGACAAACGAGAACTGAAATTCTTCCAGATTTGCATAAATACTGAACCAAAATAACAAAAGCACACTTACCATCCAGATGCCGTGATGACTAAGGAAGCAGCCGATCTCACCGAATTTGAGCGCTCTCTTATGATATGGGTCCGCGTAGCCCGACAACTGCGTGATGTTCATTTCTTTTATACTCTTCTTGGTCAGTTTTTTGCCGTCCACGGCCTCAACCAACTTCGCTGTCACACCCAGCTCACGCAAGGCAAACAGCATCTTTCTCAACCGATCGGGTCGACGAGCCAAGTTAATAAGATAGATCTGGTCAAAGCCCACTTTTGTCGCCTCGGGTACAGGCAAGAATGCAGCAGAGTTGAGCAAGGGAGAGGGTTGAATCAACGACGTGGTTGTATCATCAATCTCAGACTGAATTCGCAAGTGTACAAAATATTCCACCTCCCGGGCCGTCCAGTTTTCCGCTGAAATCTCTTTCAGCTGAAGCAATTCATGTTCATCCAATGGCAGAGGAAAGTAGCCGAAGAATTCGCGATTGTCTAGATAGAAGTTCAGGCCGGCAGCTTGAACACTTCTCGCGAAGATTATAATATCGTCAATGGGTCCGTTGTAGCCCTCAGGCGGTGGATCGTATCGTAAGCGCTGACTCTCGGCCAGGCGCAGATTTACCAGGAGGGCGGTGTGCAGCATGGCGACAGGGATCACACCCTGAGTTTGCCTTCGCTGAATATCAAAGTAATTTCTCGAACGTCGGTAGTAGCCATCCGGCGTCATATCCCCCCAGAAGTTGGAAAACACCTCAGAGGAGCTGCAGTTTAGCATCGGCCCAAGGACCACGATAGGTCGCCTGGATGTTTCTGAAGCAACGCTTGTCTCTACCAACTTACGCAGAGTTGCTTTATTAATGAGAATGACATCAGTGTCGAGCGAGAGGAAGAAATCCGCCCAGACGGAACGTGCTCGATCGAGCGCTTTCTGACGCAGTCGGATGAGCTGCCTGTAGTGCTGCTCCGTCCAGTTGGGCTCTGTCTCGGCGTCTTCTCCATCTTGCAGCTCGAGGTCCACAGAGTGGTACAGATGACGCACCTGTCGTAGCCATTCCTCTATGATATGTTGACTGTTGTCGAAGGTATTGTCTATCTTGATGTATAGATGCATGCGCCGTTTGGGATAGTCTAGCTGCTCCAGATGGCCCAGAAAAAACGGCAGACTGTGGGCCTTATTCCGAACCAATATGCTCACACTAACAGAGGGCTCTATAAAGGTCCTCTTTCTAGCATCACTGAGAATGGGTGCCGGTTCAAGAGGCTGTCCCAATGGACAAGAACTGCCCGATGCAGCTCCTTTTTCTGCCGTCGCATGCACTAACGCCGCAGTCATCAGGAGGGTCACAATTTGCATCCTCAGCGGTATCATTCTGAAATGTGGGGGTTGTTAAATGATGCTGCGACACTTGTGCGGCTGTTCTGGCGCGTTGACGGAATTCTTCGCGAGAGGGAGAGAGGCACAGAGACGGCCCAGCCAACTAGCGCCGGTACTCGAATACGGCCAAGACCGTGGGAGGCCGCGCGACTTTGCTCGTGCTTAGGTATGCTACCCACGAAGCCACGTCTAACAGCATGCATTATGCGTGCACATGCCCCGCCGTGCTTCCGCCATGACCCATTGGATGAGGACATGTGACTGGCCGGCAAGCTTTCCCATCCTTCGTTGACGCGGCCTACACAGAGCAGCTCTGATTGGCTTCTTGTTGCTGCGTGTGATGGCGCTTTGGCGACAGCCATCATTGGACAGCAGCACCAGCAGCAGCAGGTTGGATGCATTTAGGCCGCGCACAATTTGGGCGCTGGAAGTCATACACCGCAGAGTCAAAACAGCCGCTTTGGTGAACCTGCCAATAAAAAGTTTATAAGGGAATGGTCTCTCACATGGGACGGCGGTGATCCCAGACCTCAAATATCAGGGTGCCGTAATAAAACGGTAGGAATGTCTGTAGGCAGAGCTAGCAAACGACGTGCGCCACAAATAGTGGAAGTTATAGCCAAATTTATGAACAAAAACGATGCCTGTTCCCTGGACTGTGCGTCTGTATCAGATAGGTCATCGTGTCTGTCTCTCATGATATCATTTGGCCAGGAAAATACGACACAGGGCAAGGGGTATTTACTCTACACTATTAGAATTCCGATTTACTTCTTTGCAGAAAGAGTAAAGGAAACTTCGATTCCAAACAAACGCACAAATATTAAGGCAAGCGTGCGGATGGTAGAATGGTCTCCTTGTTCCGCTAGCCTTCAGCAATGCAGGGGGTTCAGCTTGAATAAGTCAGAAGGTGAATCTCCTTTCGTTGGACCCCAAATTCCGTACAACAAAACGGAAATATGTTTGACAGACGTTGAAGCTCATTCATTTCGGCGTTGGCAACATTGTCGATTCTTCATATTGTTCGATATCTGGGAGGGGGTGGGGACGTTGTAGCGCCTGGAGCTCGGACAAGCTTTCCGCAAATCACTGGCGTCTACGAACTTCGGAATCAACCAATCAGCTCACCAAGCTGACGCTGACTAACTCTCAAATAACGCCTATTCATTCATGTCCACATCGTCCTGGAAGACGAGAGAGCACGCGGGCCCAGTGCCGGCCGCGCTTCAGGAGCTCTAAATACACTCACTGCTTTGACGCTACAACGTAGCCCGACTCGTCATCGCGTATATGCTGAAAGATAATTTTACTTCCGTCAATGTCCTGTTGTAGAACCTCAATGAACGAATGAACATATGGGTGTATTGAGGATGCAGAAACTACTCACCAACGTGCTGCTGGATGAGACGACTAGAGTCATGTTTGGTCATATGTCTTAGATCTTCCTTGAGCCTCAGGGACAGCGAGGGCAGTTTAGGCGGGCGAGGAGAGTGTAGATTGGTGCTCCAGGCACTGGTTCTCCACCCTCTACGCGATGGGTTCGCAGCTGACCGACCAGTCCGATGTGTGAAATAAATATGCGATCGCAATGGGGACAGGTATAAACCGAGTCCATATTGCTGGAAGTGGGAGCGTTGGTGGTGATGGTAGAATGTGACGGGACATCAGACGTCGTCTCATCGGTGGGGGAAGTGCATAAAGTCGTGACTGTGGCAATACTGGCTGCTGCGTTCGATGCAGAGGTTGGGGCAGGGCAATGATCCTTGATGAAGGGGAGCGCGGTTAATTGCTATAGGTATGCGGTGGCATAGCGACCGCATCCTATAAATACTGCAACTTTCTGTGCACGAGTCACCCTTTTCTGTCACTGTCTCTGATGATGGATTCAAGTGAGAATCTGAAACGTCAGGCCAATAAAGCCCTTGTTCCAGCGATCGCTTCTTCCTCTTCTTCTTCTTCTTCTTCTTCTTCTTCTTCTTCTTCTTCTTCCTCTTCTTCTTCCTCTTCTTCTTCTTCTTCTTCTTGTCAACTAGTTCCTGGAACTCGCATCTTCTCTTGTTTCGGCAATTTAGAATCTACTACTTCTCCATCAAAAGCTTCAACCCATCCGATCTCAGAAGCGGGGTGGTTCGTTTGGTTGGTGGGCCATAGATCGCCTTGATCGCAACGAAGAAGTTCTTTGATTAGTTGCGTTCGTTGTATCCTCGAATCTCCGCGGCCTTGCGAGCCATCCAGGCATCCTGTATTTTTCGCAACCATTGCTGCGCAAGGCGGCGACATCGACAGGAGGCCACTTTGCTCGCGTCGGTTAGACGGTCGAGGCAGACTCTGTGCAGCATGTTCTTCTCGGTAAGCAAGTTACCGATGGCTGCGTCGTTGCCGTCGAACCAGTCCTGGTGCTGACGACGCATACGGCCGAGGACAGCCAGGGCGGTCGAATGAACGGCGTCCCGTAGTTGGCATCATCGAATCTCCACGGAGGCTTTTTCATCTGCTGCGGTAGTTCTTCCAGCCGCTGAGTCAGTTGATTACTGAAATGCAAATGGTGAGCAGACATAGACTGTACAATAGCATTCAGTTTACCTTGTGGTCGCTTACCTTGAGGTCTCTTGCGAGGTTGAAGACGCAGCCTCATCTTGGAGATGACAAAACGATGGTCCGTTCAGCCATCAGAGTCACAGATCGCCTTGGTCACCATCACATCCTGCCTATCTCGCCGCCGACCGAGAACATAGTCCATCGGCTGCCAGCGCCGCGGTCGGGGCGGCGTCCAGGTGGCCTTCTTCCGCATCGGCAGAAGAAAGAAGGTGTTGGCCAGCAGGGGACAATTTTCAGCGCAGGTTAACAGGAGGAGGAGGCCGTTATCATTGGAGCCGTGAGGACCCAGCACTCCTCTCCAGGCAGAATGGTCTGTCTCGACGCGGGCATTGGGATCATCACCGACAATCAACTTATCCGCCTTCAGCAAAGACGCCAGGAGGGCGTGCAGGTCTTCTTGGAACTTAGACTTCGTCTTGTCTGAGTCGGTCATTGTTGGGTCGTGAGCGATGATGATGGTGACGAAGTTGGATCCCCGAAGAGACAGACGCAGGCTCATCAGGCGATCGTTGCTGCCCTGGGGCGGACAGGACAGTCGTCTCACGATCTTGTCTCGGATGGCAAATGTGACGTCCATGTCCCATCGCACTGCCCTAGGGCGGTCACTCCAAAATAAGGTGTAGCCGGCGCCCACCTCCTCCAATTAACCCTATTCGGAGAATCGAATCTCGCTGAATTCAACGATGTCCACCTTGTAGCGGGCCAATTCCCGAGCGACTAGGGCCGTCCTTCGTTCCGGTCGGTGGATCCTTGGATTATCTGAAAGGAGACGAATATTCCAGGCTGCCAGTGTGGGTGGACTCACCCCAGCAGCCTGGGGGGTGGGGTTGAGGAAATGAAGAAGAGGAAGAGAGAGATAGAGAGAGAAAGAGAGAGAGAGAGAGAGAGAGAGAGTACTGCGTCTTGTGTTCTGATTTCGATCACATATTTAGCAGTCTGTGTGGCACGGTCTGCACGCAGATCTCATGAGCACAGCTTTATTGAGGGTACCTTTGATAGTACCCTCCCCCTCACAGGGGATAGCAGTGCCTTCCCTAGATTGGGCTGCTTTGTTGCATCAGACGGATGCCGCTCTACACTATGTGTCACGGGGTTTAGTGAGAGAATGACCAATGCCCTGGGCTGCTTACGTGATTGTATGTCGCCCTCGTCGTATGAATTTTGACCGTGGGGGGGAGGGGGGAGAGGAGTAATGAGTGGAGAGAGCGAGGGGCGGGGGAGAAGGGCGGAAAAAGTTGCGCAGGAGGAGAATGAAGCAGGTCCTCCAGCTACCGGGTCGGTAGCTTGCTGAGTGCTGTAATGCAAGGGTGAGCAGGCAAAAACAGTTAAGCGGTATTCAGCTCACCTGAACGACCACTTACCTTGTGGCCTCCTGCGGGATTTTAGACGGAGCCTCATCTTGGAGGTGGCGATGCGATGATCCCTACGGCCAGCGACGGTGGAGAGGGGCAGAATTACGTGTGCGGTGATACACACACGGATACCCTCACTTAGTCTAATCCATCGGTCGAGACATTTACCGGGTTGTGGCCGCTAGACAGAGTGCAGGTTCGGGGAGCCACAGGTGGGAGGCGGGTGTCAATTATTGGACGCAATTCTTCTAGCTGGTAGATTTCCAGGTCCTAAATTCCCCCTCAGTTCCGCTATTTCTGCTAGTACTGCTGTTGTCAGTGCTGCCAGGATACTTTGAATGTCGACCCACGATCCTGACATATGGCTACTGATTGTTCCTTTGATCGATCCCTTTGAGCTCGGAGTGTGTAAGAGGGCATTAGTGACACCGTCTGAAGCTCGGCCGTGATTCTCGAGTCCAGGCTATTTCCCTAGTCACACTCTAAAAACTGTAAACATTCAAGAATTCAAATTAATGGCAAGTTTATTTTTCCACAGTCGTTTTACAGGGACAAAAGGTACTTTTGAAATTAGGCATTTGATGCTATGGAAGATTTAACTGTTACATAGCTCAGTGATGCCCATTTTTCGTGAAGCGTGATCTGCACTTGTGCTCATTTGTGAGGACTCCCAGCTGCTCTTGGGTTCATAGCGCATGTCTCTACATGTTAGTAAGAAGAGACATCTAGAAGGGCAAGACTGGGACATAGAGTAGCTGCTCAAATCCACTAAACACTAGCTAAAAGCTTTAAACCTCCCTTAAAATACAAGCTGAGAGGGGGTGCAAGAAAGACCGCAATTGGAATGCCAGCATGGACACCCTGGATGAAGAAAGACGTCCATCGTCAGAGATAGTAACATCAACAGAACAAGCGACAGTTATAGGGCATGTAGGCCAACCGTCGACCGACAGCACAGGACTGGAGATGACTGCACAGGGCTCTGTACGCCGGCGCCAGATCGATAAATCGATTGACTGAGTTCTCATTCGAAGCTCAGCCTTCAATCAGTTCTCGACCCGTTTTGCTTTCGGCGTGGGCGACTGTTTCGGTGGCTGCGAAGTCAAACTCGCGACCATTTCGTAGGTGTGGGCAACCACTTGTGATAGTGCGTCGCCTCGTTGCACAGCCAGCTTATGTTCGGGTATGCGCGATCAGAGCATGCGTCCAGTCTGGTCTGCGTAATTACAAGGACAGCTTTAGCACGGGATGTAATACATTACTCCAGATTGCTCCTCAGTCTTTAACCGGTCTTTAATTTTCATGACCCTACTGCGCACGGTGGCTCTGGGGCGGTGGGCAATTCCATCATCTAGCTCCGCAGCAATGCGCTCAGTTGCCTCCGTAGCGCCCGTGACGTATGGCAGAAAATGCCATATCGTTGGCGGTGTTGGTGTTTTGGTCCTCTGGGGACAACCGCATAGGCAGCAACCTATGAACGCCTTCGGGTATCCATCTTGCACAAACTGGTCGCGGAGATAACGGGCCTCATGTGCTTTGTCCTCCGGTTTGCTGCAAGGAGCCTGCATCCGTTTGAAGAGCTTCTTTACATAGTTTTGTTTGTGAGCCACCGGATGGCTGCTGTGAAAATGAGAACCTGTGTAGTGTTGGTTGCCTTCCTAAAAACCGTCGTTTAAAGTTCACCGTTAAGGTGTTGTCTGGCGAGCACACCAAGGAAGAGCAACTGATGTTTCTGCTCTTCTTCCCCTGTGAATTTTACCTCGGGGAAGTCTGTGTTGAGCAGATTGTAGAAATGTTGTAGCATGTCCCTTACGATGACAAATGTGTTGTCTATGCAACGACGCCAAAATGCCGGCCCATGTAGGACCAGTTCTGCCACTAAACCGGAGATCGGTGAGCCCATTGGAGTTCCCTTGATTTGTTCATAGGTCTCTACAGCAAAAGTGAGGAAAGTTCATTGAAAGATTTGAAACAGTCTCATAAAGTGCTCAATTTTGAGTGCACTTTGAGTATCGTCATAGGCCTCTTAAAGTCTCTTTCACAAGACTTCGCGCACCAAGTTTGGTAGGATGGGTGTGAATAACGACGTCACTTAGAAGGAAATAGTAATTTCGTCCGATTGAATCCACCGACCTCGGAGGTCTATGAGGAATTGAGTGACTGATCGAACTGAGGTATTCGAACTGCCTTGGAGAAAATTTAGTTTTGAGTACATCCACTTTGCAAGATTGGAGGTGGGACTGCCTTTAGGGCAACGATCGGCCGCAGTGGGACATTTGCCTTATGGATTTTTGGCAGACCATAGAATTGAGCTAGAGCTGCGTCAGTTGCCTTCATTTGATGCCATTCATTCTCTGTGACTACATTTTTATGTCGGTATTCTCTAAGCAGTTTACTCAGTTCATGTTTACTCAGTCGATCTGTCACTGCTTTGGCTTGTGAATCATATGCCGGTCTGTAAAATTCTCTGTCATCGAGAAGGACTTCAGCTTTTTTATTATAGTTTTCTCGGTTCATCACGACGGTTGGTCATCCCTCGTCAGCAGGTAGAATGGCGATAATGCGCATTTACCACCATTATTGTAAGTACCGTTTTCAATGGGGCCATCAAGGGCATTGTCTATTAGAGTTACGAAAATCCCCATTGCTGTAATCAGAAGACGAGGTGGCGAGCATACATAGTTTTCGATAATTTCTCATCGGGGTAGAAGAAGAAACACGCCAGTGATAAGAGAAATCGATTAAAGTTCGCCTTAAAAAACAGGCTGGTGTGGGAAGGTGGGGGAGGGAGTGGGGGGTAATAGCAGTCAGTGTCAGGGGGGGGGTGAGAGCGGAAGGGCGCGGAGAGTCGCACCGTTAGTCGACCTTCGACCACTGTAGGCGCGGAGCCTGAACGTGGTTCTTCAGTGCGCACAAGATTGGCTTTCGTAACCTGATGGCGGCCACTTCTGCTGCTGCTAACAGGCGTTGACCCAGTACCTTCGAATAGCTGGATGGAATCTTATAAATCACACGAAAAGCTTCGTTGGGGTGTACATGATGTGCGGAATCGACAACATGCGTGAGAATGGCGCCGCTTATGTTCCTCGTTTCGCCTTTTCCCAGCCATGCCGGGAGGTGTTCCCGTATTCTCTTGGATAAGCGCCGATTCGTGCGACCAATATAGTCTGCTCCAGAGGAGCAACTGAAGGAATAGATGCGCGTTGAGGTGGTCTGGGGTGGCAACTTATCCTTACCTTCTCCGCGTAAAATAGGGGTTAATAGAGAATGATATTTGAACCCTTGCTGCTGGGAAGGTTCGCGAGACAGCTTGATCAAGGCGCCTCCTTAGAAGTTCACTCGCAGCGTTCCCTTGGATGGGGACTTTGAGGAACAAAGTTTTCTTTTCGGCAGTCGGTGTGGCGGGTTTTATCGGTCGTTCGGCAATGTTTTTTGCTATAAATCCGTCAGGATATCCGTTTTCACGAAAAAAGTCCTGAATTTTTCTAAGCTCCTCCTTGATACTATCTGCTGAACAAATTTTTTAACTCTTTGTGCCAAGCACCGAACTAGATTTCGTCTTTGTTGGAAGGGTACGAAACTGTTGAAGTTTGTGTATTGCCCAGACCAGGTTTTCTTCCGATAGACGCTTCATCGGACACTCCCGTCTGGTCTCCTGATTGGAAGAACATCTGAGAAAGGGAGCGAACCGGCCGGCTCGATCTCTAACGTGAATTTGATCGACGGATGTGCCTGATTTTTAGCATGTAAGAGGGTAGCTACGTCGGTTGCCGCAGTGACAATTGTAAAGATATCATCAACATAGCGACCGTAATGTTTAAGCTCATCGATCTGATCGCTCAGTTGGAATCTCTCCAATTTGCCCATGAAGACATCGGCTAGGAGAGGTCCAAGGGGTGAGCCCATAGCAACGCCGTCTACTTGTCTATAGAGTTGGCTGTCAAACACGAACTGCACATTTAATGTGCATCTTACTAATAGTTCCTTGAGTGTCTTCGTCGGAATTCCCATTTCCTGCTGATGGGTTGACAGAAATTCGCAGATGCATTCGACTGTCTCGGTAACCGTAAAGTTTGTGAAAAGTGGTGAAACGTCTAGCGAGAACATCACCATGCCGTTGAGGCTAAGGTCTTTGATGTCGTCAATGAATTCAAAGACATCTCGGTAGCTGCGTGGTGCTAGCTGATGCTGTACGGGCTTGAGTTTCTCTGCTAGCCACTTTGCT